TCTATTCTGCGACTTGTTCTGACATAAGAACTTTGAGTTGTTCTTACGTACAATTTCATCCTAGGTGACCTATCTAGTTCATTCCATTCTGTAATCTGCGACTTGTTCTGCTAAATAACTACATAAGCTGTTTGAGCGGTTCTTACGTGTAATTTCATCCTAGGTGACCTAGCAAGTTCAAACTTCAAAGTAATAAGAAGATTGTTATTTTTTTTTTTTAGAGTAGCTCTTAAATCTGTGCATGTACTTACCCGTAATTACTCGACTCAATCCTTCAGTTTTATAAGTCTCAGTCTATATATATATATTCCTGTAAACAACCTCCTCGTACTATATCTGTAAAAGAATATGATAAATGGGTTTGAAAAAAAAAATCATGCAGAGTTATACGGCGTATGAAGTACGAAATTTCAAGACAGAGTTTTCCTTTTTTCTGTGTGTGATGATCTTCACGAATTTCAAACCCAAGAAAAGAGAAAAGGATGCCGCCCTCTCTTTCTAGGCAGTTTAAAAATAGAGTTTCAAAGGGGTAGAAGGTGAAACATTAACTTCAATGTTGGAGCATCCAGCTTGATCTTTATCAGTATCTGATGATATTGATATTTCCTTAGAACGAACTCAGCCGACAATAAACTGTATCAAGTCTACAAGTAAACTCAAGAAAGGATAAAATAAAACTGGCCTTGAATTGGTCAAGGATGTAGATATAGTTAAAAAATAATAATAATTGGTAAATCAAGATTTGAGCTATTCAAACCAGGCCAAAATGGCTTCTTACTTCAACGTATGATCACTGTGACCTCACTATCAATCTGTCTCCACTAAAAATATCAAAACAATGCGAAGTGCCCCCTAATAATGTGATTGCTACCCAATGCTATCATCATCATTGCATCCAATGGCAAGAAAGTGAAGTACACCAATACCCATAGGCCATGACAATTGAAGTACCGATGGGCAGGGCATGCATTAACTCAATCTTGAATATGCAAATTCAACTTGGTGGGAGAAATATGTCACCTTTCAGCTAGCTTTGGCTCTGTACCTGGATTTTTCTCTTTGACTTGTATTATTTGTCTTTTGTAACGAGCAATTAATAGTTTTTTTTTTTTTTTTTTTGCCAATTCCTCATAGAGTACATTTCATCACAGGCATTTATCCACTTGAATCTTAATTTATTGACGGACCACTGTCAATGAAATAGTATACAAATAATGAGTTCATCCCTTTTTACTTAATTAAGTTCATCTCTACCTAACTTTTGTCTTTCATGCAAAATAATATAGATATATTACTACTTTACTACATGATTAATTACAGCATCTGCAACAGCTAATGTTTTTCAAGAAATGAGGTGCGGAACATATTCTTCATCACCATGAGTTGTTTCAATTTACTCGAGTTTGAGTTCATTTACTCTAGTTAATTTGGTGTTGGTGGAGTATATTTTTTTTTTCATTTTAGGAATCATACTAGTAAAGTATAGCAGAGGGAGTCAAATGGGGTTTTCTATACAACCAAGGAGGCATACCATAACATGAAGAAGACACGTTTTCCTGAAAATAGAAAAAGGAAGGGGGAGAAGGTGGCAACACCGTGATTCTCGTTCCAAACGAAGAAATTATTTGGATCTGGACTCAATCCTTATTTGCTGTGGCGGTGTGAAAACATTTGATGCTGAAAATGCTTAAAGAGGTGACTGAGGAGTTTCGCAGATCACCAAAGTTAATTAACAAAGCTCATATGAAGTATTGCTGATTCATTAGTGCCGACCGACCGTGCTATTAATTTTCTTTTCTTTTTTTTTTTAGTTGCCCGCATATTATTATTATTATTTGCTAAACACGACCCACAAATAGTTAAATAATTAAACATGATGCTTTTCTCCAAACCCAAATTTCATTATGTAGCCAATTTCTTGACTTGTGCAGATTCGGACGGTTGACTTCCGAAAAGCCACTTCCACTGCATATTACCATCACGCGAAGCAAAGTGGGAAGAAAATAAACACTCATAAAGAAATTAAGCATCCATCATTCTCAATTTTATATTTCTGGTGGACTGCTCAATACACTATTGAGCCGCCACCGCGTTGTTGGCCGTCCAAGGACAACGGCCAATTTGTTTCCCCATTGAAAATCCATAACATATCAATCAATTAGTTTAACAATTTTAGGTCAGACGCATCGATGTCACATTATTGAGTGATTAAGGGTCTTTGGATAAAAATATGAATTACACCGATCCATTTTCCCTTCCCTTCTTGTCTTCTTCGCTATCCTCCCCTGGCCTTCTAAAAATATTGAAAAAAAAAAAGCAAAAAGATAACCAAATAAAAAAAAATTTAAAAAGAAAGGAAGAATATGCTAGGCCAGGCCATGAATACACTAGGAATGGTAAGGCATAGTAGTCCATAGGAGGGCTAGGTTAAATAGTAAGGTGTAGGGCTGCAAACGAGTCGAATCGAGTCGATCTTTAGCCTTATCGAGTTAAACCTTAACTTAAGTTTATCGAACTCGAACTCAAGCTCTAATTCGACGAGCTGACAATTTTGAAGTTCAAGCTCAAAAGGAAAAAAATAAAATATTAAGAATATTTATATAATTTTATTATTAAAATAATATATATATATATATATATATATATATATATATATATATATATATACACTCGAGCTCGCGAGTCGGCTCGTGAGCTAACGAACTTAATATTTTGAGTTAGAATTCGAGCTCGACTTTGACTCGACCAACTCGAGCTCGAGTCAAGCTTGAATCGAGACGTGCTTGGATCGAGCCGCTCGCGAGTCTCGATTCGTTTACACCCTTAGTAAGGTGGAAGCACTGTAAATAAAAAGTTCTAAATTTTAAACCTCCCATTTAAAATTAAAAAAAAAAAAAGACATAGTAGCTATAGAAGCATCTTTCAAAAAAAAAAAGGCAATAAACCAATTATCTTAAAGAACACTCGGAAGTCGGAACGTACGTTTAATTGGACCGAAGATAAATAGGCCACCACCAGAATCTACAGAATACTGTCTTTGTTTACATTTTAATAAAGCGGAGTGAAAAAGAACCCAAGCGCAGCCTTGAGGCCCTAATCAGACAGCAAATCAGTGCAGAGAAAATGCATGTTCCACTTCTGTTGTAGACTTGGCCCAACGGGGAATCAAATTTATGTTATCACAGCGGGACTCGTGACTAAAAGGCAATTCCGATGGATATCATTCTGGGCAAATACATACAATTAATATTAGCATTATCCTACTATCACTTTGGATTTCTTTTTGCAGCCCAGCGAGGGGGAGATCGTGACTTGCAAATGGCCATGATGTTATTTTGATTTGGTTGGTCCATCAAAAATAAGCTTTTACCTGACTGCACCCGAAAGTTTTCTTTTTTTTTTTTCAAAAAAGGGGCAGAAAAATATGGATCTAGTTTACGATTGCTTGAAGAAAAGGGCATTGGCTGCCAAATCACATGGGTAGAAATGATAGGAAGAACAAGTCTGCCATAATATCTGGTTATGGAACCTATCTGGAATGCACTGACTAGAGTAACAGGCTACCGATGCTCAACACGAGCACCACTACCAATACAACAACCAACCAGAAATTCTATTGGAATTTTCTTAGAGGGACTCCAGTTGGAGGCCTCATTCACCCCCACTTTCTCTCTTTCCGGTGGCCAACACTAGATTAAAATAGGGGGATAGCATGCAAGCTTTCAACTCTTAAAAAAGGCACATCTTCCGAGCCCTACATCACATGGATTTATGCGATGGCAATATAAATAATAGTTTTCTGTTCCAAGTTAATTTTGCCCGCAAAATTGAAAGTCGTTTCTCTCAATAAAATCGCAAGGATGTGGAGTCACTTAATTTCACTAGTAGATGCCAGCTGTGTCAAGTTTGCGACATTACTAGTCATGATGAAATTCTCAGAGGACATAATGTGATAGATGAGGAGTCCAGAGCAAGAATCCTAATTCCCTATTCCACAACCAAAAAAAGGAACTGAAAGACGACCAAATTGGACGCACGGTATAAAGATTGTCGACAGAAAATATTGCAAACCGCTTTAGTACTAGCAGCAATTGTATCCGACAGTTTTGAACTTAAAATGGGTTTTGTGAAAACCTCCTCCTTAATCTCCTTGTCATATTAGCTTTCGCACGGCAGGACCGAATGAATTTCTACTGAGCTCCGTTTTAAGTGCGGCATTTGGTTTTGATGAAATTGAGCCAAAAAGAAAGTTGAGCCTAATTTATCATGGCTAGACTTGTTACTCGATCTTCTCGCAAATTCAATGTGTAAATGCATCTTAATTCCTCATCATTGTGCTTGTTTTCCCTAAATCTAAGGTTCAAATTCCTCGTTATCTTCATGAATTTTATGTAATCAATTCATTGAACCCAAAACTACGTGGCTTTTGAGAGTTGAACGAAATTAGACTGCTAGAATATCACGGAAAAGCGGTAAATTCTTATCCAGGCTCTTGGTTAAATGAACATTTGACGAGCTCTGGGATATTTTTATGTTAGTAATCCAAAGAATCCACTTCCAAAGTTTGGTAGTAAATCATTCCTCCCATGCCCGAAGGTTAATATACTAATACACGTGTATATGAAAAGTACTATAACATGACTTCAACCCTGGCAATATACTTAGTTAAAGCCCATAAATCATTCAACAAACGAACACTTTAAGAGAATCTGAGGTGTGAAGAGTGAAGATTTCAGCTCGTAGGCATGCGTTAGAAAGGGACAACGTAAGTGGGGACAATTTTGAGCTGCAAGGAAGTAGTACTTGTTTACAATCTTTTCCGGCAGAGCCCTTTGGAAGGATCTTCAGTAGCTTAATAGTATACTCTAATTGGTTATAGTGGGGACGCTGTGTACCTAGCTGTAAGTGGCTACGCAAGCCATATGCTTGGCTTAGTATATAATGGACGACGAAATGGATATCTCTATCGTGCTGTTTTGGGTCGTGAGTCGTCACAAGAGATGGGGTTTGGGCCATTGCTGTTTGTTGTATTGCTGATTAGCCCGTACGTTGTTTGTGGTTTGCATGGTCAACATGCAAAGGATGGGAATGTGATTGATCACGACAACGGTACGAGTTCTGAAAAGAAGCTGCCACATGGCTTGCATGTCGATACAGGACGCGAGCAAGAAAAAAATGCAACTTCAGGTAATCAAGTTGTGGAAGTAAATGGCAATCAGGTTGCGCACTATGGAGGTAGTGGAGGAGAAGGAGGGGGTGGCGGCGGTGGCGGTGGCAGTGGAGGCGGAGGCGGTGGAAGTGGTAGTGGTGGAGGGAGAGGTGGTGGAAGGAGGAAAAGGAGAGGAAAACATACATGCGGTAGAAGGGGAGGAAGTGGCGGCGGAGGTGCTGGCAGCGGTGGTGGTGGAGGTGGGGGTGGGGGTGGGGGTGGAGGTGGAGGCCATGGTTGGGGAAGTGGGAGTGGTGGCGGTGGCGGTGGTGGCGGTGGTGGCGGAGGTGGCGGTGGTGGTGGTGGTGGTGGTGGTGGAGGAGCGGGTGGAGGAGAAGGTTGGGGATGGGGAGGTGGAGGAGGAGGAAACCAAGGTGGGTGTTGGGGCTGGGGATGTGGTGGAAATCATCCTCCTCCAAGTAAATGAGCCCTAAAACTGGATTTGGCATTTGCAAGCGCCTAAGCAATGTGTGCCATGTTGTTTGATCCGGTGACACGTACTACTATTTCTTTTCTTTTACTACAAATAAGTGTTTTTAACTAATTCGGTGCGTTTGATTTCTTGTTAGTGAAACAATCCATTTTGGCATTGTTGAAAAAAACAAAAAAAAAAGGAAGATCCCTTTTTGGTGATTCCCTTCTAGAATGAGAATAAAATGTATTCGAGTCTTGTAACAGTGAATTGGTGGTCAAATACTAGGTTATGGTTACATCTGTGATCTACGTTTTTCGTGGCAAGGAAAATGGTAAATTGCAGTTGTTAGCCTGCCTTCAGCTTGTGAATTTCCCCACTTTATATTGAACATCAGTAGCACTATTCTGTAAATAGAAATCCTATGTCTTGCAGTTTGACATTTTCCGTTTGTTTATTTATTACCAGTGCAACCAATAAGGAAAAGCCAGCACTTTGATAAATAATATTATTTTTTTTGTTTTTTGGTCAAAGCAAGCGAATGGATCACAACAAATGTAGGCATATACATATGTAGCAACCACTGAAGTTGGTCCGCAATACAATGAAGTTCAAAGATTCATAATTTGGGGAGGGGAAAAGATGTGGTGCAACAAAAAAAAGAAGAAAAGGTGCATATTGCATATGCATACGTAGGCATAAATAATTATGTTGGGCCATGTGTAGCTCAAAGCCCGGTAAACAGTTGCAAATTTTTGTAGATTGAAGCTCACCTGAGGATCCAGAAGCACCATAACTCCTGATGCCTTCAGACTCAAGCGCCACTTGGTAAATTAATCCATTTAATCATATTTTCTGGTGCCAAAAAATGATTGTTTTTTGATTCTCTTTCTTGGATTAGAAAGGAAAAAGAAGGGCTCCAGCCCAAATTCTCAAATCTATACGATTCATTTATCTCTACGTTACGTACATGGGCCTTTAGAATCCATAAACTGGAACTACTTTTCAACTAGTAAGTATATAGCAATAATTTTCGATAAAAGATCAAAGATTACCAAAAACAAAAATTAAGTAAGAAATGGTGGAAATAAATAAAGGTGGACTAGTGCTAGACAACCACAGAAACATATTCCAGTCAAAACTTTCGAAATTTCCATTTGAAGCGTGGTGCACCCGCAACAAAATAGAGCAGCAGCAGCAGCATGCATGATTGTTTATGACCATAAAAAATATATATTTTTTTTGTTTTTACCATAAAATAGCAAAAATTTTTGAGCATGGACAGGGGACTTTGCTGTCCGTGTTTCGGTTTTGCCAAGTGGAATAATGGCGAAACGCCGCAGATACTAAAAAGGAACCGCCGGCCGGCCTAAGCTTTGACCTTCGCTCAATTACCCTACTTAGAGTTAGAGGCGCGCGCAAAATTATGCGTCGGCGACAACGTGTATAGCTTCACACGATGCACTTCAACCTTTTCTATAATGGGTTTTTTCCCAGGACGCAGAATGATGATGGAGTATTTGGTCTTATTGATGCGAGCCGCGAGCGTGCTTACGGCTTACCCTTAATAAAATCTCTATTGTTTTGCAAGTAATGTGCTAGTTAGTTAAATTAATTACTAGTTGCTTATACACGATTTCACATATTCCGTTTTGCAGACTCTTTGGTTGGTTTAATAGCCAAGATCGAGACCCCAAGATTTAAAAGTATTACGTTCAAATCTTTCCTCTCCATCCCCCTCACTTCTTAAATTCTATTCCTTCTCGAATATCAGGTAACCCTAATTGATGTACTTGAAATATGTTTAGATGAATGAATAAATAAAGTATATTTATGTAAGCCCTTTTCAACTTTTGGGTACACAAGTTTTTGTGAAAATCCTCATATGGTAAAGTTTGTTGTTCAGAACCATCACATCAGTGCCACGGTCCAGGTCTCTCGAGGATTAACTGATTTGATTAGCGGAAATGGTGATCAGTAAACTCATGGTATAGGCAGCAACCATACGTTAAAGAAGAAAATAGAAATAAAATATGATCTTGGCGATAAAAGCAGTCAAAATCATCTGCATTTTCCCCTACTCGGTTCTGGTTCTGGGGAAGAAACAACGACTTGCTTCTCTTTTTTTTCTCTTATCAATTTTGCCAAACATGTACACGAAGACAAACAAAGCTAACGAACTTGAATCGTACGAGTTGGCAAAACATAATTCACAACTCAAAAAAGGGGACAACTTATAGATTTCAATCAAATTACCAAAATTCTGGCGTAAAAGTGAAAGAGGAAAAGAAACAGTACAGTATAGTGCAAATGGCAACTGGCACCTAACTTTCGTTATGCGTTAGACAATACGTTCCAGGCACAAGAATATAATCCGGTCCACCCTTCGTAGACAAATATATACTGTACACTAACTTAACATCAATGCAACTTTCACTGCTGAAGATCCTTTAATCTTTCTGTTCACGATTCTCAATTTCCGATCTTTGTTTTAGTGTTAGAGTGAATTTCGCAGACGACTCTTTCAAGTTAGACTGACATTTTAAGCCTCGTTTAAATTGAGAGATTTGATGAAAAATTTCAAATTCATCCAAAATGCTTCGGTGTATATAAATTACTTAACAAGTATTTGAGTTTGTAATTTAACAATTATTTTTTTTCTTAGTACATTTTAAACCCTAGAATAATTAATAATTTACAAATTCAAATTCTTTCCAAATTTTCTAAACAATCAGAGGGATTTGAGAAGATCTCAAGTTCGTCGTCAAGACCCTTAATCCAAATGGATATGAACACTTACTGCTCAGTAAATTCAAAAGCTTCTTCTCTGAAAAATATAGCTCTTGCACGCTTCCAAATTTCCTTTTAAGAAATGATTTTCACATACCTGAATTGTACATGAGAATAAAAAGAAGAGGAAGTGAAAAAATATATATTCTCCCAAGATGCTGACGGTTGGACCAAAAAAAAAATCAAATGCCGACAAAAAAAATTTTCTTTCCTTTTACTTTATTACCTATTTTTGTTGGTGAGCGAAGATTTAAACATAAGTTTTCATTCACTTGAAACATAACTTAGCACGGAAAGTTAATTTTTGGCTTGCTTTTTTCGTTCAGGCTATATATTGTCCACATTTATCATTGCCTCGAGGTAGAAAAAGTTTAATTATGCCACGAGTGGCGTCAGATGCTACTTGCTAGTAATAAAGGGCAAATGTAAGCAGTTTATGATATAACCATCTGAGGATAACGTATAGAATCAAGGTCTTCTGCAAAATGGGCAACAAAAATGTTGAGAGTTGAGAGGAAATTGCCCTTAGTCTATCAATGGGCAACAAAAAACCACTGACGAAAAAGCTCATTAACAATTGCCAAAGGTTTTGTGCGATAAAAACAATGTTGAGAGTTGAGAGGAAATTGAAAAGAATTAGGAAAAAAAAAAAAACATTTCGTAAAACAACCATCGAGAAGTGCACATGTAGAGTCAATTGTGGTCAGAAGATGAGTCTTTTAATACATGAAAGAAATAATCAATCAAACAAAATTCAGCCTCTCATCTGAGGTTTTGGTTTTTTCTTTTCGTCCGGTCCATACCATAGCAACTGCTACTCGACAAACCCATTATCTCCATGTTAGTATGTTGCTTAGGGAAGCAAACATTATAGAGATGGACAAACGCTTGAAAGTAGTTGGGATGGTTGAGAGAGCTCCATCACGACATTTCCACCAAAAAAAAAACGACATTTCCACGTAACCTCCACCATGATTTTCTGCTCGGATTTAGTTCTATTCCATGTCCTATATATATATTTGTTATTAATAGCCATGCACTGCTCTTCTCAAGAACACTAATTGACTTTGTACGTTACGATTTTTTTTTAATTTTTTTGCGAGTTAATTCCTTTTTTTTTCCTTCCTTTATTACGCACTTGGAATTGGCCAAATGATCATTGTTTAGGTTTTAATGATTCAGGTCATGGACTTGAGTCATTTGTTCAATTTCTAGCTGGAGAAGTTTGTTTGAGTCAGAGAATTGCAAAGTCAGAACTACGACATATATGTTTGGTGATTCTTGATGTTACGTGTTAGCATTCATGTATTTTAATTTCCAATTAAATGTGGCAAACCCCACAATCAATATATTGTTTTTCTTAAATGAAGAACGTTCATTGTAAAACAGTCTTTCTTTCTATAAGGAAATCTGTGCAAATTTTGAGAAATCAAATTCGGATTATCTGTTCTTCACATTTGGATATTAAAGAGCAATGCAACAAAAAAAAAAAGAAAAAAAGAAGGAAGAAGAAAAGGGAATCTCACATGGCACGATTAAGTGAAATGCAATCCAAATATATTGCTAACATTGTAGTAATTGTAGCTTGTAAGACACCCCATCATGTATCATCAACCTTACGGTAATTGGTTCCTTTCTTGCCCAGACATGCCCTACTACCCCTCCCAATGGTTCCTAATTACGAAACGAATTACTGCATCGAGGTCAATGTTTCAAACCTTACCTCCTATTAATTGTCACTATATGTGGCTTACCACTCAAGTAGCTTAATCTATATGGGTGCATAATATACCCGTCTAGTTCGATAGTTGTTCAGTTCCCGTCGTTTTCTCCATTAACCCAACTGGACTCTCCCTTAGAATAGGTTAGAGTAGAAGTAAGTATAGAATAGACTAACACCCGATTGTCAAAAAAAAAAGTTTACTGCATCTGCTTCAAGCTGTGCTTATCAAAATCTTGGGCCATATTTGTTTAGCTTTTAATTATAAAATTTGTAACTGCAACCTATGGTATTTCTAACATACTCACTAGTTTCTTGATAAAATCTTTTCATTTTTTGATGCCAACTATTTGGGAAGACTTCCCCTGTCTAAAAAGGAGGTCTTTTTTCCCCCTACATGATATTAACGTAACTTCAAATTATATATATATATATATATATCCTCTGCAACTTGTCAATTACATCTAGGACTTTTCCAAGTCCTCTCACAAATACAACCACCAAA